ATGATTTAAATTACAACTTTATTCAACTGTCTCTTAAAGAACAACTTTGAAGCACATGCATAGCTTTGAAGTGGTAATACACTATGTCCGGTGCTAATGAACCGTACACTCACCTGTGGCAAGTTTTGTGGACGGAATTTSAGATGAACAAATTGTGAAATTTGTTCTTCTCTGGTGTGCTCTGGAAATTGCGCTTTGAGGTCATCCCAGGAATCTACACCTGTGTACTTCATAAACGCTTCTATAATGTTGCGCTTGCTTTTTATGTGAGCTGCTTTGGTGGCTAACTCTTTGAGGGAWAGTTCCTCATTCACCACCGCCCTCAACAAAGTCAACTTCGAGTTAAGACTTATTCCTTGCAGRGGCATCCCCAGCTGAAACAAAATTGAAACAGAAGATCATCAGAATTGCGCCAGGTACAGTTCTAACAAAGCAGCTGATTGCTGAAATAACGTTGAGTGACCAAGCTTTTCTGGATGTAGGCAACCGAAGAAGAAAAAGAAAGTAAATAATTCGTCTGAGTAAAGAAGGATATGTATGTTAACATAAACACTATTAGTCCTGAAACTTCAGAAAAATATAATAGCAAATGTAAGGTTATTTCTCATTTTCACCTCATTTATTGCCGAAAGGTTGAAGTACGTAAGAAAAAGTGTTCAGCTTCATTTATCTTTTGCCTTTGAATTGATGCCTTTAAGGTGGATTCCCGCTCCAGTTTCGAAAGAGCCGTAACGCATATTTTCAACGCTCTTTTAACCACCTTGCGTTGGCTTCGTTTTTTATAAAACATTTATATACATGATTCATTTATGTTTGTCATTTTATTCATTATATATTTACTTGGTTCTGAGTAATTTCTTGTTTTTTTCTCATTCTTCTTCGCTTCTGTTTTGTATGCTGGTCCTTAAGTTCGCCCTTGGCGTGCTTTTTGGCAATCATGACAAATAAATCCCAAACTGGCTTTTCCAAAAGAGCTGCTTGTAGGGTTGGTTCTAGCGTTGTCGGGCTCTGTGGGTAAAAAGTTWTATTAAGCAAAGACCATTATTTTGCAAATTCATATATGGATAGTTAGCTTTTRCAACTGATATCAATTCGTTTTCGTTAGGGTTTTAGGCATTCAAATTCGGGAATGGTCCACATAAGCTAGCATGTTTACGAATATAGTACCTTTCCACTTTCCACGAACATCCTCTTACAAGAATCTCGCCACTCCGTTGTGGATGGGGGCGTGGGTCCATTTAATGGGAGGCGCTCCATCTGGTACCTCCAGTTACGACAGGCCTCCACCCGGTCTACCCATGTCGTYGTCCTGCTTGCCTTATTGTTGAGATTATGGCTTGCCGCCACACGTTTTATTTGCTCATCTGTCATTGTRTTTCCATACAATGACACAAAAACCTGCTTCAACGATTGGCGGTGGTTTTCATTAGTCGAACACACCTAAATAAAAGCAATTTAGTTTGGTGAAAATATGTTCGAGAAGATGTTCATTCATCATAGGTGCGTGCAGGTCCTCTACTCGCAGGGTAGTAGATTATATAAACTTCTCAAATGACCAACAAAATTCATCAGAGACTAGTAAAAAATGAGTGGAGTAAAAATACATACCAGCCGTGAAAAATGAGTAAAAGACTCAAAAACACAGAGTAGTTTAGAGATGGAACATTCAATTTATAAAATAAAAATCCAAACTGTTTGGACTTTGGGCAAAAACAAAGCCTTGTACATTTTTTWAAATAATTCATGATTCATTTTCCAAAGTTACGTATGATTCATTTTTAGGTTGACTTTGCTTTGAAAAATTCTAGATTTCGTCGTTTTTCAAGATTTCTGATCACGCTTCAACCAAAGAAACAACACTTATAAAAACGTTTTCAAACAACAGTTTCTTTACCTTGGCAAATGCTGCCTTCCTATGTAATCCTCCGATCACAGTYATATTGCAGCCCTTGACGAGATTTTTGTTTCTTAACACGTCGTCACRCGAAATATCTGCAACTGCCACCCATGGTTGTTGGTCGTGGGTGAAGCTTAATGGTTCAGCTTGGATGGACTGAGCCAAATACTCAACATGTTCCTCATTAAGTGGTCGGTCCAGCCATCTCTGGGGGGGATCTTTGAGACGATCAACATCCAAACGGAACATGCCTGTCAGGAGAAAAAGAAGCAATGAATAATAATAAGAAATATATTTAATTATTATACAGAAGCGTTTATTTAAGAAAAAACCACTGTTCGCAAGTTGGAGCCGAAAACAAAAGAGCTTCTGTCTATGATTACTAGAGTGCTTTTAGTCTCACTGTTGAATAGTTAGATAAATGTATCTAACTTAGATAACTATTTAGTTGACGTCACCTAAAATAGTAAAAGCGCGCCAAATAAYGGTCATGCTAATCCGGGGGGTTGTTTTACCAGAGAATGAGTGAATAGACATTAATTTCTATCATCGTTTCTCCCCCTGATCTCACGAGTAGCTGTTTACTCGTAGTTTCAAATTTAGGTGACGTCACCTCGAAAATAGTAAATAACTTATCTAATTTAGTTGACGTCACCTATTCAACAGTGAGACTAAAAGAACTCTATTAGTATGTTAGATTTAGGCAGATTTGTTTACCGTGGATGCGTTTTCATTAGCACATTCCTTTGGTTGTGTTTTTATAACAATTGTATACTATACTACATATCACATTACCCCAACCACGTCATAACTCCTGTTTGGCAGATCCTTTCAAACAACTAAAATGTTTTGTCTTTTTTTTAGTGAAAACATTTCTTTTGACCTAACGATCTATCTGGCCAATGTTTGTGAACTATCAGCAAATGAAATTGTAAATTAACAAGTCATGTTTAGCGTTTATAAAAATATCCGAGTAGAAACACCCAAGCAAATGTAAAACGAGTCTAAATTATATGAATGTAGTTTTACCTATGTGGTGAGCTGAAATTTCCTGGTCCAATGTTGTGGCCCGTTTGAGCTTCTTCCCCGGGGACTGTAGATCCAGTTCCTCTTCATCAGTGTTCCTTTTCTTTATCTTGGAAGACTTTTTTGAGGTCTGTGGTAAAACCTCATTTTCGCWCTCGTCATCCTCTCCGCTCGAGTCATGTAACARTGGCAATCTTGGGTCTGACTCKTCTATTGCTTTTTCTTTCAATGTTTTCCATCTTTTCCAGGAGTTCTCGAACTCTTGAGCTTTTATATTTGGGCTGCTCAACGGCCCATTTCCTGCTTGAAAATCGCCGATTTCAAAAATCATCGTAGTTTTTCCGGTGACAGATAACGAATTTTTCACCGTTATCTGCAACGAAAAAGATTCTTAAATGAATATRAAATCTAAAGTGTTTGGAAGAATTGGGTTCACATGCTCGTTTGAGTAGACCCCGGGAGTAGACCGGTTTCCGTACAACTTTAAATGATACATATTTTCAACATACACGAGAAACTTGCAATCTGATCTTACYGAAATGTCTTTGCCATTTTTGTGTGCAGAGACAGTTAAAACTTCTTCAGTCAAGTGTTTGGCCCTTGTTTTTGCGCGTATTCCATTAACTTGGATGAACAGGAAACCATCGACATCTTTCACTGACCAGTTACCACGTGGGCCTCTTTCTTGTGAGTTATTATTTGCCATATCGAGATATAATCTAGGAAATTCACCGKATTAATAAAACATACTTTGATGTAATAGATAATTTGAATCACCATAAGTTTATACGTTGAAACTAAAGTTTCGGACTTTCAAAACACCAGCGTGAGTTTTGAGCACGGTGACTCAAATTATTAAAAATTGTTCRTACTGTGAYATAGCCTGCGTAGCTGCTCATGCCGGTTCAATAACTGAAATTAGCTATAGCAATTACATGTAATTAAATATTCCACTTACTTTTCGTAAAGAAGTAATTTTTGATCGCTARTAGATGAGATTTTGAGTGAGCTTTGACAATAGTCGTGGTTAAACTTTCGCATCAAATGAGAGACTTTCAAATACAAGGCCAGTCTTGTAGTGGTATTGCTCAATTGCCAGAGCTCACAGCATGTGGTTTCCGGAATTAGTCTTAGAAAGCAATCTGATTGGTCAATTTGTCTTGGAAGACAGAAGAACCAAGCTCTTTGGTATACTGTGAATGTCATGGGCGGGTCGTTTTTTTTTTTGACGTATCGTATTTTCCAAGGGATTTCTGGTATCCGGAAATGCTAGGTCATCATATTGATGATAATTCGTTGACTGTTGAAATTCCCGCCCAAATTGTCCAGGCTGCCATTGGTAATAGGCGAGCCAGAGCACTCACGAACGCAAATCATGGAATACAGTGATAGCGATGAAGAGGAATCATTTAGAGGTTTTACAATAAGAGATCTTCGCGAGGACATTCCCATTGCAGAAAACATTCCAATTTATACTTTAA